ACACAAAACAAAAATGGGTGGGCCTCTGTCCCGACGGCCTGCACTGTGGGCAAATCCTCAGGCGTGTCCTCTCCAGGTGGCACCAGTCCTCCCTTTTTGTCCCCTACAGACCTGCTGGGGTCCCTCCTCCCAGACAAATAACGAAACTCCTTTCCTTGATCCTGCCACCCTCTGCCTTCTCCCACCAGGCTTGCCAAAGGGCATCCCATTCTCATCTTGGATGCCTGTGAACCAGTCCCTGGATGGGCACAGGCCGGGGAAACCCTGGCTGGGTGGCCTTCCTGCCCCTGCACCCACGTGTGGCCCCATGTCTCTGCCTCTCCTGCAAGTGCACTTGCAGGCACTGCTGCAAGGCGCAGCCTTGCTGTGGCTGTTTCTTGCCCACTCTGGTCCTGGAGCCAAGCAAAGCCCCCGAGCTGCCCGGGTCACTCCTCTCGCCCCTTTTCTTTCTGCTGTTCTGTTGTCGCTGATGGCAGGTGACAAAGTCATTTTCTTTTCCTCAAGGGCCATGGACTAAGCATCCGACACGCGCCAGGCCCATGCTCAACAGGATGCACTCCTTCACCCTCGACAGAGGGTTTGCGGGTCACAGCAGCACAGAGCCAGGAGTGGGCCCGGGCCTGTGGCTCCTCCGCTGGCCCCCACCCCCTGGCTGGAGCCAGAAGTCCCCAGCTCGGTGTTCACAGCTGCACACGGCAGCCTTGGCACTTCTTGTTTGCTGCCCCTTCCTGGGTCCCTCTCCTGCCCCGGGCTGCCCTGCAGAACGCCCTCCTGCCCCGGGGCCCTGGGCAGCCCGGCCTGAGGACGGGGCAGCTCTGAGGGCTCCACCTGTGCCACATGCATGGCCGTTCGGGGACCAGGCTGGCCGGAGGAGTGGCTGTCCCAGCCAGCAGGAGGGGCACGCGCAGGGGAGCAGCAAGGGGCTCCCAGGCCAGGCCTCCTCGAGTCATGGAGCCTGTGCCCGAACGCAGGGCCGCGGAGGAGGAAGAGGGGCTGTGTGGGGCTGGGCAGCCCGGCGTGTCCTCCACGGGCCTCTGTGAGGCTCAGAGGCCAAACAGAGTTAAGCTGGGTTTGCGCGTGTGAAAATACACAGCAGCATGCTAACCACTTCCCAGTGCCCACGTCTCGGCATCCAGACATCCACGCCTGCAACGTCCTCTTCCCTAGTGGAAACTCCGTCCCCATTAAACACGCCGTTCCCCAGCCCCGGACCCTGCAGCGCCGTTCCACTTCCCGCCTCTCTAGGGACCTCATGCGGGTGGCGTCCTGCGGTATTTGTCCTTCCGTCACTGGCGTGTTTCACTCAGCACCACGTCCTCAGGGTCTGTCCGCGCTGCAGCAGGTGCAGCCGCGTCCGTTTGTGGACAGGTGGAGCTAGGCCGGGGTCTCAGCTCTGGCACCCGCGCCCTCAGCCGCAGACACCACCGCAGGCTGGGAATAGCGAGCGAGCGAGTGTGTGAGGGGTCCGTCTGGGGTCCTGGGAGGACAGAGCGCCCTTACTCAGCGGTGCTCGCAAGCACCTCCCGCGTGCCAGGCCCTGGGAAGAGCTGTGACCCAGAGGGCCGCCCGCCCTCCCCCAGCCGGCGACGCCCTTGCTCAGACACTCCGCTCCCGTCGCGGTTGCCAGGAGAGCCATCTCTTTCCTTTTATGCTGTTGGAAATGAGCTGATCAATGTCCCCGAGGTGTCCAGGCTGCCCGCGCTGCGCTTTGGGCCGAGTGGCTATTGATCGGCAGGGTGAGCTGCCTTCGCTCTGCCCTGAGTCAGCCCTTTGCGGGAAAGTGCGGGGAGGGCTGCTGGAGGAGGCGGCCAGAGGGGCTCCGGTCCAGGTATGCGGGGGCCACGCGCTCCTCTGGGCCGCCCTCCCAGGCACACTCTCACCCGGAGACGCGAGCTTACCGTCAACACGGATCCGCGGCTGGGCGCAGGCCGGAAAGACGGACACACAGACGGCCAGAGTGGGGGGCAGAGAGGCCCTGGGAGAGCCGTCTGCCCATCTGGTCCCCAACACCCACCAGCCACACCCGGGCCAAGCAGCACCCGCGCTGCCCGGCTGGTGTGAGAGGCCGGTCACTCTGCTGGGAAACCGCCATGTGCAAAGAGGATCTGACTTTGAACCGAAGGCTGCGTCCTGCCTGTCCTCAGTGCCCCCCGAGCCTGGCCCCAGGGTCTGGACGTCCAGTGCAGCCCTGGCCGGGGCAACGTCCACCCTAGTGGGGGTGCGGCAGGACGCCGGGCAGGGCACGGCAGACCCGGACCCACGTCTGTGGCCAGGCCTCGTTCCAGCCAGAAAGCGGGGCCTCCCGGCAACAATCTGGCCGCAGACTCGGAATCTGACCATCTGGTCAAGGAGACACAAGGCCCCGAGGTCACCCAGGGACGTGGCCTGTCCTCGGGCAGGGCTGTGACCATCTCCTCACGTGGTGTCTGGCGCGGAGTAGGCGTTTGACAAACGTGTTAAGTGAGCGCAGCTACGGGGTCTGGGCCTTTTTAGCAAATGGTAAAAGCGGAGTGAATAACGGCTGCCGGACACGGGCCTCAGGCCTTGTTTACGTGGGCTCACGGCGCCCTCGGAGCAGCCCTCGGCGGGGTCCTGGGCTCCCACTCAGCCAGCGCCGGCCCCTCCCGCCCGGGCCCTGCAGTCCTGGGCCGCACGCCTGCGCAGTGTCAGCAGGGAGGAGGTGCTGCGTCTCCACTGCAGGTGCTGGGGCTCCTCAGGGAGCCACGGGCAGAAAGCCTTGGGGGCAACGACAGAGACGTAAATTGCACGCCTTGTTAGGAGGTGCTGAGTGCTGTGGGGCGGGGGCAAGCAGAGGGACAAGCAGAGAACAAGCAGAGGGACAAGCAGAGGACAAGCAGAGGGACAAGCAGAGGATAAGCAGAGGGACAAGCAGAGGACAAGCAGAGGACAAGCAGAGGACAAGCAGAGGACAAGCAGAGGACAAGCAGAGGGACAAGCAGAGGGACAAGCAGAAGACAAGCAGAGGGACAAGCAGAGGGACAAGCAGAGGACAAGCAGAGGGACAAGCAGAGGACAAGCAGAGGGATAAGCAGAGGGACATGCAGACGACAAGCAGAGGACAAGCAGAGGACAAGCAGAGGGACAAGCAGAGGACAAGCAGAGGGACAAGCAGAGGGCCAAGCAGAGGACAAGCAGAGGGACAAGCAGAGGACAAGCAGAGGGAAAAGCAGAGGACAAGCAGAGGACAAGCAGAGGGACAAGCAGAGGACAAGCAGGGGACAAGCAGAGGGACAAGCAGAGGACAAGCAGAGGGACAAGCAGAGGGACAAGCAGAGGACAAGCAGAGGACAAGCAGAGGGACAAGCAGAGGACAAGCAGAGGACAAGCAGAGGGACAAGCAGAGGACAAGCGAGGGAGCCGGCCTGGGGCAGGACCATGGGCGCCACGACCACGGCAGGTCCACGAGCCGCAGGGCCGCCGGCTGAGGCAGCGGAGCCCGGGAGGAGGGGCAGACGGCCAGACCTGGGCTTTCGCCGGAGTGCGCCGGGGAGCGCCGAGGGGTCCGGGAGGGCCAGGGCCTGATCCCTGCGGGTGCAACAGGGCTGGGGAGGAAGGGCGCGGGCCCCGCAGGCTGCTGCTGAGACGCGCGTGGCTCCGACCAAGGTGGCAGGGACGGTGGGGCCTAGGGCTGCCCTGTGTGGTAGGGGCCACTGGCCACACGTGGGGATTACATTTCAGTAATCCAGTGAAGTCACAACTCAGCCCCTCCGGCACACAAGCCACCTCTCGGGTGCCCACAGGCCTCCTATGGGCAGCGGCTGCCGTGGGCGACACCACAGACACAGGACATCTCCACTGCCGCAGAGTTCTCTTGGGCAGCCCCGGCCTAGGAGGTGCTAGGGCATGTTGCCCCTCCTTTGGCCAGCGGATGTTGCTTGTGCCACCTCTGTCGTGAGAAATGCCCTGCTGGGCACGGGACACAGAGACGGTCTACGACCCCCTCGCCAGGCCAGGCCCCAGGTGCTGGGCCCGGCTGAGCAGCTGGGGGCGGGTTGGAGCAGGGGGCCCGGGAGGGGACTGGAGAGGCTGCGGGCAGGCTGTCCAGGCGAGGGGCAGCCCAGCAGGGAGAGCAGCACCTGGCCGAGGAGGGAGAGGGTCCAGCTGTCCAGAGCCAGGCACGGCCGCTGCAGCTTTTCCTAGGAAACTGGCGTCAACGGAAAAGAAGCCAAATTCTGTAAAATAATTTTTTTTTTTTTTTTGAGACAGAGTTGCCGGGGCTAGAGTGCCGTGGCGTCAGCCTAGCTCACAGCAACCTCAAACTCCTGGGCTCAAGCAATCCTGCCTCAGCCTCCTGAGTAGCTGGAACTACAGGCATGCGCCACCATGCCCAGCTAATTTTTTATATATATTTTTAGTTGGCCAATTAATTTCTTTCTATTTTTAGTAGAGACGGGTTCTCGCTCTTGCTCAGGCTGGTTTCGAACTCCTGACCTTGCGTGATCCACCCGCCTTGGCGTCCCAGAGTGCTAGGATTATAGGTGTGAGCCACTGTGCCCTGCCTGTAAAATACTTTAAAAAAGTTTTATTCTGAGCCAAATTTAAGGACCGTGACCCGGAGCCACGCCCAAGAAGCGCAAGTGGACTCGCTGTGGCTGGATCACAGTCTGGTTTTATACATTTCAGGAGACAGGGGTTACAAGTCAAGTCGTAAATCAATACATGGGAGGCGCACATTGGTTTGGCACGAAAACGTGGGCCATCTTGAAGAGGGGATGGGCTTACAGGTTATAGGTGGGTTTAAAGACTCTTTGACTTTTTTTTTGTTTTTATTTTTTGTTTTTGGAGGCAGAGTCTTGTTCTGTTACCCAGGCTGGAGTGCAGTGGTGTCAGCCAACCTCACAGTAACCTCAAACTCCTGGGTTCAAGCCATCCTCCTGCCTCAGCCTCCCGAGTAGCTGAGACTACAGGCATGCGCCACCATGCCCGGCTAATTTTTTTCTATATATTTTTAGTGGGGCAGCTAATTAAAGACTCTTTGACTTGTAAAATTGGTTAAAGACATGAAGTTTTGTCTAAAGGCTTGGGATGTTAAGATAAGGAAGTCTGTTAGTCAGAGGGATGAGCCACTGGACATGCACTTACTGTGTAAACTGAGGACCTGCAGGTGTGCCGTGCATACCCTTAGGCCTGCTAACGGGTTACAGAGGATGTCCCCAGGAAGGGAGGGGACATGATAAGGCATGTCTGACTTCCCTCCTTGCAGCAGGCAATTTAGTTTTAGGATATCCCCTTGGCCAGAAGGGGGTGGTCCATTGAGTCAGCCAGTGGGGGAGCCATAAGACGTTATTTTAGTTCATACTGGTGAGCCGGACGCTGTGGTCCACGCTGCGGCCACGGCCATGTGCGCTGAGGGCCTTGGCGATGTCTAAGCCGGGAAGTCAACTCCATTGAAGCTCTGAAGACCTCATGGGGGAAGTGCAATGTGAGCCAGCTCGCGTCTGATTTCCTATACCGATGACACTATTTTGGCATGTTGGGTTCAGCACAACATATTAAAAAGGAAGGGAATCCTGACGCAGGCTGCGACATGGAGGAACCTTGAGAACATTGTGCTGGGTGGCATAAGCCAGTCTCAAAAGGACAAGTACAGGGCCGTGAGGTCCAGCCCTGGGAGGCCCCTGGACAGGCAAACTCAGACAGACGGGCACGGCGGTGCCAGGCCGGGGGGAGGGCAAATGGGAGTGTTCCGTGCGGACAGCTCCAGTTTTGCAGGACTGGGGGGGGGGTGTCCATGGCCACGGCAGCACCAGCAGCGCAAGGTACGAGACATCCCTGAAATGCACCCGCAAGTGGTTAAATTGTGAATGTTGTGTACGTTTTCCCACAAGTTAAAACATGTTAATAATTTTGATAAAATTTGCTGAAGAAACAAACTCTCTCTATGCACGTAAAAGCAGAGTTACTCCCACCTGCTTCCTTTTGGCTTTTTACTGTGGCTCCAGGCAGTCTTTGGTGGTCTGGAAGCTCCTGGCGGCCGGCCGGTGGCCGGAGCGTCTGCCGGGCGGGAGCGTTGGGAGCGTGTGGGGCCGCAGACACCGGGGAGAAGGACCCTGACTCCAGACTTCTGGCCTCCCAAACCGGAGAGGAAGTTTCTGTCCGTTCTAGGAACTGCTGTTGTCCTGTTTTGCTGATCTGTGCCGGCAGCCGCAGGAGACGTGCACTAATTTGCCCAATTAGAGCTAAGGAGGACAGAGCAGCAGGTGGCACTCGGCAGCCCCTGGGGACCAGATGGGGTCGATGTGCAGCCAGAGGGAAAGGAGAAAGGAGATTTACGTCTGGGCTGGACAGAGCCTGCGTGTCAGCAGCTTCTAGAGTGCATCGATAGCTGGAAGTCGCCAGCGGCCGGCCGTTAACAGCCTCTGGGCGGAGCCAGGCTGCAGAGCTGGGGCAGGGTAAAAGCTTTTGTCCCATTTCCTACAGCGGCAGGGTGGGCCATGGGCCCAGGGGATGGGGGCCCAGAAATGGGACCTGAGCCGAGGCCTCGCTGCCAGTTTCCCCTCTCGGTTTCTCCATCTGTAAAATGGGACGGTGCTCCCTGTCCTGGCTGGTGTGAGGTGCTCTGTGCCAACACGTCTGTGCCCACTGAGGTTCTGTGCAGACGGGGGAACCATAGGGGCTGCAAGCAACAGACATCCCAGCCGGCCAGGCAGGCTCCCCCGGGATCTTCTCAGCAGGCCCTAAGCCAAGCCGGCCGCAGTGTCTGCAGCGCATCCCTCGCTCAGCGTCTGCGTCTCCTGCAGAGCTGAGCAGGGCGGGGCCGGCTCTGCCTTCCTCCTGTTTCTGCAGGTCTGGACGTCCCCTCTGCACAGGTGACAGGCAGTGGCTGGAAGTGTGCGGCTGCTGGGGGGTGCTCTGACCCCACCTCCCACCCCCAGATCAGATCACCTTTCTTCTGGGCGTTGTCCAAGGCGTGCGGTCGCAGGTGGACGGGCACGGCGGTGAGTCAGGTGGAGATGAGTGACCTCTCCTCCCAAACCTGACTGTGAATCCACCGGATTACATGGGCCCACGATCTACCAAGAGCGAGAGAGCCCGGCGTGAGCAGCGTCCGCAGGGGCACCTCCGAGGCACTTCACAGGGACGGGGAAGCCGGCCGGGGGCAGGAAGGCGGGTCCCTGGGGAAGACTCACCCCAGGGAGGATTGCCAATAGGACAGGAGAGCTGGGGGTCGGAGGCTCCCCATGCACACCACCCCGCCTCTGGGGTGGGGGTGCTGCTCCCAGGAACAGGGTTTGTGGACTCAGAGAAAAAGGTGAGGCCGCCAGGGGATCCAGGGCTGGGGCGGAGGCTGCCCCCCCCCACCCCCGCTTCCCTCCTGTCCCTGTCCTGCAGCTGCACCCTCCCAAGGCGGGGCCACATGGGCCCTCGCCAGGCGGCGCCAAGTGTCCTGGCCACAGAGGTGGGTCCAGTGTGGGCCCGTGACCTACGAAGGTGGAATCCAAGGGAAGCCTGGGGCATTTATGGATGGCAGGGAGGTGACGAGCCCTCCCCTTGTGGACTGCAAGGTACAAAGATGTGGCATCTGGGCCGGGCGAGGTGTCCCATGCCTATAATCCTAGCACTCTGGGAGGCCGAGACAGGAGGATCACTCGAGGTCAGGAGTTCGAAACCAGCCTGAGCAAGAGCGAGACCCCGTCTCTACTAAAAATAGCAAGAAATTAGCTGGACAACTAAAAATATATATAAAAAATTAGCCGGGCATGGTGGCACATGCCTGTAGTCCCAGCTACTCGGGAGGCTGAGGCAGGAGGATTTCTTGATCCCAGGAGTTTGAGGTTGCTGTGAGCTAGGCTGACGCCACGGCACTCTAGCCTGGGCAACACAGTGAGACTCTGTCTCAAAAAAAAAGATGTGGTGTCTGAACTGCTGCAGCCATTTCTGCTCCTACAAAGGGAGCCCGGCTGAGGCCCAACCACACACTGCTGGGGAGGCAGAGCCAAGAAAGCCGCCAGGCACGGGAGGCCCGATGGTGAGGTCCGGACGTGCAATGGCATCCCGGGGGCCAGGAATGTCCCGTTTCTGGATCTAGGTGGTGGCTATAGGGTGTGCTCACCTTGTGAAGGCTTATCAGGTGGCACTTGGAATGGGTGTGCTCTTCTAATGCACGTTCTGCGTCATTCAGGCGCACATTAAAAAGGAAGAGGCCGGGCGTGGTGGCTCATACCTATTATCCTAGCACCCTGGGAGGTCGAGGCGGGAGGATGGCTTGAGCTCAGCAGTTGGAGACCAGCCTGAGCAGGAGCAACTTGTCTGAGGCAGGACTAGTGTCACAGAAGCGGGAGAAACCTCCGGAGAGCTGTCAGGAGGCTGGGCAGGGGGAGCTTGGGCAGCAGCTGAGGAGCTTGGCTGTTGTCGGCACGAAGGCTGAAGGCTCCTTGCTGCTGGAGCTTGGCTATGTGTCCCCTCCAAGCCTCAGGTGGAGACGTGGCCCCAGTGTTGCAGAGGGGCCTAACGGGAGGTGCTTGGGCAGATCCCTCACCAGCGGCTGGGTGCCACCCTCGCAGTGCGGGGTGAGTTCTCGCTCCGTGAGTGCCCTCAAGAACTGGCTGTTAAAAAGAGCCTGGCACCGCCCTTGCTTCCTCTCTCACTGTGTGTCTCTGCACACCTGGCTCCCCATCTTCCCCATGAGCAGGTGCGTGCTTCTCCTGCATGCTGCAGGAGCACGAGCCAAGTAAGCCCCTTTCTTTATAAATTACCGAGCCTTGGTGCTCCTTTACAGCAACACTAACTGGACCAAGACACGCAGGTGCCAGCAGATCTCTTCTTGGTGCCGCTGAGAACCATTGGCATTGTCTCCTGCTCCCCTAAACTCTTACCTGCTTACTGTGGCTTTGTCAGCTTTCTCCTCCTGCTGGCGTGGCCTCCCAGGTGGTGCCCAGTGACTCTCGCCTGCTGCTCTTCACACCCTCCAACCGTTGCCTCCTGCCCCTGTGGAGCTGACCTGCATATCCAGCAGGGCACTGCGGAGATGGTGGCATGTCACTCCTGAGCCTAGGTCTGGAGCTTGCTAGGAAACGGAACCCACGCCAGGTGGTTTTCATGGGGAGACATCACTGGAGGGACTACTCTCAGAGGGGCAGTCAGGAAGCCACCTGCCAACGAGGAAGGGGGCAGCAGGGGCCGGCCACAGAGGGGCTGCATGGTGAACTACAGTCACAGCGAGGCCAGCCACTGTGACAGGGGAGGAGGAAGGGGCCCAACCCGAAAGAGCCCAGGGTGCAGCCTCCCAGGGCCTAACGCAAACAGAGAAGGACAGAGAATGGACGTGGGTGGGGCAAACAGGACAGGGAACCCGGGCGCCAGAGAACGTGAAATCCCAGGGCAGAGTCAGAAGACCCAGCACTGCCACGCCATCCCCCCTCCAGTGGACGTGCACACGCAACAATCCCATTTGCAGTCCCGCTCAGCTTTCTCATAGAAACTGATAAGCTGATTGTAACATTTTTTTTTTTTTTTGAGACAGAGTCTCACTTTGTTGCCCAGGCTAGAGTGAGTGCCATGGCGTCAGCTTAGCTCACAGCAACCTCAATCTCCTGGGCTCAAGCAATCCTCCTGCCTCAGCCTCCCCAGTAGCTGGGACTACAGGCATGTGCCACCATGCCCGGCTAATTTTTTCTATATATATTAGTTGGCCAATTAATTTCTTTCTATTTATAGTAGAGACGGGGTCTCACTCTTGCTCAGGCTGGTTTCAAATTCCTGACCTTGAGCAATCCGCCCGCCTCGGCCTCCCAGAGTGCTAGGATTATAGGCATGAGCCACCTCGCCCACCCTGATTGTTAAATTTTTATGGAAATACAAAGGACTCAGATTATCTAAACTAATCTGATAAGAGAAGAACCAAGCTGGAGTACTACCACTGCTTGACTTTGAACCTTAACTACTAAACTCCACTGGTAAAGGCAACATGGTGCCCACACGGAGGATGGACAGTTAAAGGGCCAGAATAGTGAGCTTAGAAGCAGACCTGCACTGATGTCATCATTTGATTTTTTGACAAAAGCATGAAAGCAATCCAGCGGGGAAGGCAAGTTTTTTCATCAAATGTTGTTGGATGTTCATATTTAAAAAGCAAAGCAAAGCAAAGCAAGCAAAAACATGACCCCTACCTCACACTGTATATTAAAAAATGATAATTTGAGAAGGTCAAGACCTAAAAGTAAAAGCTAAAACTTTAAATTTGCTAGAAGAAAACATAAGAGAATAACTCCATGACATGGAAGTAGGAAATGGTTTCCTAGACAGGACACAGATAACAATGCCCATAAATGAAAAACTTGAAAATTAAGAACTACTGAACATCAGAAGATGTTTATCAAAATTTAGTATGTATATGGCTCCACTTATATGAGGTACATAGAGTAGTCCACACCACAGACCTGGACAGTAGGATGGGAGTTGCCAGGGGCTGGGGCGAGAAGCCATTTATTATCTGATGGGGTCAGAGTTCCATTTTACAAAATGAAAAGAGTTCTAGAGGTGATGGTTGCACAACATTATAAATGTATTCAGGCTGGGCGCGGTAGCTCATGCCTGTAATCCTAGCTCTCTGGGAGGCCGAGGCAGGAAGATCACTTGAGCGTAGGAGTTCAAGACCAGCCTGAGCAAGAGCCAGAGCCCGTCTCTACTATAAATAGAAAGAAATTAATTGGCCGACTAATATATAGAGAAAAAAATTAGCCGGGCATGGTGGCGCATGCCTGTAGTTCCAGCTATTTGGGAGGCTGAGGCAGAAGGATTGCTTGAGCCCAGGAGTTTAGGTTGCTGTGAGCCAGGCTGACGCCACGGCACTCACTCTAGCCTGGGCAACAAAGTGAGACTCTGTCTTAAAAAAAATGTATTCAATAACACTGAATATACACTTAAAATGGTTAATATAGTATATTTTATCTTATGTGCATTTTACCACAATAAAAATGGGAAACAATGAATAATCAAGCCATAAACTAGGAGGAAATAGTCACAAAACCTGTCCCTGTCAAAGGACTGGTATGTAGGATATATAAAGGACTCCTAAAACTCAATAATAAAAAGACAACTCAATAAAAAAATAAACAAAAGAGGTGAACAGACATTTTGCAAAGATAGATCTATTAGTATAAATGCTCAATAAGTACATGAAAAGATCTTAGTCATGAGAGAAATGCAACTTAAAAGTGGAAAGAGACAGTACACATTCCCCAGAATGACCCAGATTTAAAAGACTGACACCACCAGGTCCTGGTGAAGATGTGGAGCAACTGGAATGCTCATGTCTTTCCCATGGGAGTGTAAAATGGCCCATTATTTAGCAAAAGGGTCTGGAAGTTTCTTATAAAACTAAACATATACCTACCCTATAACCTGTAATTCCATTGCTGGGTATTTACCCAAGAGAAATGAAAATCTATGTTCCCCAAAAGGCTAAGAAAGTTCAAATAAGCTTTATTCATATTAACCAAAGTGGAAGCAGCCTAGGTTTCCAGCAACAAGAGAATGGCAAACAAACTTGACAACTGTACGAATGTCAAAAATATGAGATGAGTAAAAGATGCCAGACAGACAAGGTAGATACTGTAAGATTACATTTATATAAAGTGCTCGAACAGGCAAAACTAGTCTACAGTTAAAAAATAAAAATAGCCCAGGCACGGCGGCTCAGGCTTGTCACCCCTGCACTTTGGGAGGCTGAGGCAAGAGGCTGGAGGCCAGGATTTTGAGATCAACTTGAGCAACATGGCAAGACCTATCTCTACAAAAAATAGAAAAATTAGCTACAATGTGGTGGCACACACCTGTAGTCCCAGCTACTTGGGAGGCTGAGGCGGGAGGATCACTTAGGTCCAGAAGTTCGAGACCACCCTAGGCAACAAAGTTGCTACAAACAATTATTTATTTATTTATTTTTTTGAGACAAAGTCTCACTTTGTTGTCCAGGCTAGAGTGAGTGCCACGGCGTCAGCCTAGCTCACAGCAACGTCAAACCCCTGGGCTCAAGCGATCCTACTGCCTCAGCCTCCAGAGTAGCTGGGACTACAGGCATGTGCCACCATGCCCGGCTAATTTTTTTCTATATATATCAGTTGGCCAATTAATTTCTTTGTATTTATAGTAGAGACGGGGTCTCGCTCTTGCTCAGGCTGGTTTTGAACTCCTGACCTCGAGCAATCCGCCCGCCTCGGCCTCCCAGAGAGCTAGGATTACAGGCGTGAGCCACCTCGCCTGGCCCATTTATTATTTTTTTGAGACAGAGTCTCACTCTGTTGCCCGGGCAACAGTGGGCAGTGGCGTCATCATAGCTTACTGCAACCTCAAACTCCTGGGCTCAAGCCATCCTCCTGCCTCAGCCTCCTGAGGAACTGGCACTACAGGTGTATGCTACCACACCCATCTGATTTTTTCTATTTTTAGTAGGGACTGGGTCTTGCTTTTGCTCAGGCTAGTCTTGAACTCCTAAGCTCAAGTGATCTTCCTGCCTCGGCCTCCCAGAGTGATAGGATTAAAGGCCTGAGTCACCATGCCCGGCCCCAAATATTTTTTTAATTAGCTGGGCGTCATGGCATGCACTTGTAGTCCCAGCTACTCAGGAAGTTGGGGTGGGAGAATTGCTTGAGCCAAGGAGTTTCAGGGCTGCGGTGAGCTATGATTGCGCCACTGCACTCCTGCCTGGGCGACAGAGTGAGACCCTGTCTCTAAAAAAATAACAAAAAATGAAAACAACAAAATAACAACAACAACAAAAACCAGAACAGTGGTTGCCTACAGTGGGGGATTGCTGGGAAGGGATGTGAGATCACTCTACGAAGAAAGGGCACGTTCCATTTCTTGGTAGGGGTTTCAGTCACACGGGTGAAAGGTTTCTCGGAACTTGTCACATTTACCTGCGCGTGTCAAACCTCACAGAACACACAATACGATGTACAGCACAAAGCGTGAGCCCTGATGTGGGCTGTGGACTTTGGGTATCGTGTGAATCTTGGTCCATCGGTGGCAGATGTGCCCGACCAACGTGAGATGTTCGTGGCGGGGAGCCCAAGTGGAGAAGTAAGTGCACGGGAACTCCTTGTACTTTCTGCTCGATTTTTCTGTAAGCCTACAACTGCTTTAAAAAACAAACTCTGTTAACTAAAAAATAAAAAAAATCAACACTGTTTAGTCCCTGAAATAAAGGGAAATATAATGTAAAACAGAACTCTTTCAATGGTACCCTTAATGTCCATGCATTTCACCATATGTAAATGTTCCCTGAAACAAACAAAAAAGCTCCGTTAATGCCATGAACGCTGAAGCATTGGCGGGTTAAGTGCACTGATGTTGGCGATGTCCTTTGAAACACATTAAGAGAACATGGACCGAGGGACAGAGGGGCGCAGAGACGGGCTAACGCTAGTGGGGCAGAATGGGGTGGTAGAATCTTGGCGGTGGGGCATGTGGGTGTTCACCGCACAGGTCTGCCGACTCTTCTGTAAATGTGAATATTTTCAAATAAAATGTGGGGGGAGAATCCTCAATGTGGAATCTCAGTTTTCCGTGATGTGTCCCTGCCCCAGACCCCACAGCCCCACTGTCTCCTCTCTCTCAGTGCTCATCCACCCAAACTGAAATAATCTGGGAAGCATAGATATATATCTTCCCATCACCCAGTTTCTAGCATAACTTTCTTTTTTCTTTTTTTTTCTGAGACAGAGTCTCACCCTGTTGCCCGGGCTAGAGTGCCATGGTGTCAGCCTACTTCACAGCAACCTCAAACTCCTGGGCTCAAGCGATCCTCCTGCCTCAGCCTCCTGAGTAGCTGGAACTACAGGCATGCACCACCATGCCCAGCTATTTTTTTTCTATTTTTAGTTGTTTGGCTTATTTCTTTCTATTTTTAGTAGAGACGGGGTCTCGCTCTTGCTCAGGCTGGTCTCGAACTCCTGAGCTCAAGCAATCCTCCCTCCTCGGCCTCCCAGAGTGCTAGGATCACAGGTGTGAGCCACCTCGCCCGGCCTGGCATAACTTTTCAATCACATAAAACAGGTTAAGTCTCCAGGTCACATATTGTGGGGACTCTAGCACCTTCCCCGACATACCTCGTGATTCCTTGAGAGACAATGAGTGGGTCTCGGTCACCTGGAATACATCTGCCTGAAGTCCAGAGACACCTGTGGCCCAAGGAGCATGTGACGAATGTGCAAGGTGCACACGGCCAGCCCGGGCTCTGCATGGAGAGCCGCTGCCCTCCCGTCCTCCCTGAGCAGCAGTCCTTGTCCTAGCGTCCTGGGCCCCAGGGCCTCCAAGTCAGCTTCCCTCGCGCCGGGCACCTCCGAGGGCTGGCTGGGAAGTGGGGTTCCAGTTGCAGGGCTGACTGGGCCTCTGGACCTCCCCAGGCGGCTCTCCAGCCGCAGCCTCACTCCAGCAGTATCAGGATACCGCCGGCCCCGTCTGTGCGAGGGGGGTGGTCAGGACGAGAATGCTGCAGGCCGGGGACACAGGGCTGTGTAAGCAGACCAGCCACCATGACCCGGGCTTGCCGAGCGGGATCCGCATTTCGGGAGAAGGTGTGACCGAGGGTCATGGTGGCCCGCTGGCTCTGGGAGAACCCAGGCTCTGTGCTCTCTGAGGCCGCTGGGCAGTCCTGTGGGACGGGGCTGGGGTTCGCCAGGCTGCATCCCGGCCTCGTTCCCCGGCACTCCAAGGAGGAAACAGTGTGCCAGGGACAGAGACAGACAGAGGGGTGGGCTTCCCCGCAGGGCCACCCGAGCCCTCAGCCCAGCTCTTTCTGATCCAAAGCCCTGCCCTTTCCCCTCTGTCCCAGAGGAAGCAGTTCCTGGGGCTGTGGGTCGGGCAGCTCCAGCTCTTTAAAGAAAAAACAGCCTGGAAACCAGAGCAATTCCAGTTTCAGAATAGAAGCCTGAAACCAGAGAGGGTGTGACCTGTGGCCAGGACAAGGCAGGACCCAGCCCAGATTAGCCTGGTCCAGATGCCAGGGCGCCCCTCCCTGGTGACTTGTGCCCAGGCCCCAGACAAAGCCAGCCTGCCCCGCCCTCAGCCTGTGCTTCCCTCGACCCCCTCCAGGTCACCCCCCTGGCCTGAGGATGGGCACCAGGCACCAGTACTGCTGCCTAGCCCAGGACGGGCTTCAGGCCACCTCCCACCCTTCCTCTCCTCCTCTCCCTTCTTCCTCCTCTCTCTTTCCCCTTTTTTCAGGCACTCAGGCCAAGGCTGCCCCCCGGATCGACGGCAAGTCCCAGCCTCCTTGTCTCTTCCAAAAGGCTGCCCCCAAAGACAGACATCCACAGACATCTACAGTAAAGAGATGAATGCTTAACAATGTATCAACTTCCTGTTCCTCTCTCCACTTGGGACAAACGAGGCTGTGTGGTTTGTTCCCTTTGGGGCACTGTACTTTCCTTCCTGCGGTTCCTCCACCTGCCAGATCCTTCACATATACCATGTGACTGTCCTCCCACCCCTGGGGGGCATAGAGGTCCCCCGGACCATCTCCAGGCCCTGTCTCAGCTCCGCAGCCTGTTCTGCTGCCCGGCCTTGCCCCGACACTCCAAGTTCTCAAGCAACACGGGCAACAGAATGCACAAGCCACTGGAGGCTCAGGCTTATCTCTGATGGCCCCACTGCCTGACAGACTGTGGGGGCTCAGTATTTCTCCAGTCCACGGATGCGTGGGGACATTTTCACTCCTCGACTGGGGATCTCAGCCACAGCTTCAGCTGGGCCTGCAGATGGCTCCAAACCTGCAGCTCAGACGCAGCCGTGTCCTGTTTAGGTTTCCAGGCTGTCTGCTCCCGTTCATCCCTCCAGGTTTGGGAGCAGGGGAGTGAAAGGGTCAGGAGCAGGAAGGAGATGAACACAGATAAAGGCAGAGGACTAGGGAAAGGGAGACGGCGGATAGAGACAGGCCGAGGAGAGAACGCAGCTCACACATGGGGAGCAAGTCTCTAGAGAGCAAGGGGAACACCCAGGTCCTGCTGTGATGTTGCCTGGAGGAAGCCCTAGTCCTGCCACGTGTGTGTGTGTGGGGGTGCAGGGCAGGCCCCGGAGGAGGGTCTCCTGCCACTCCCCCCAGGCACAGCCCACCCCCTCTAGGACCCTGACTGACCCTCCCCGAGTCTGCTAGCCACAGGGACGCTCAGAGGCCACCAGGCCCCGCATAAACAGTGTTTCGTGTTCCATCCAGACAATCCCCATCGTGTTTGCCTCCCAGCAGCCCTGTCCCTCCAGGCCCATGGGAAGGACAGAGAGTGGGTTTGCTGCCCTAAGTAGCCCTGCTGGGGCTTCCCCCCTGCAAAGGCACAGAGCCTGCATGGGCTCTGTTTTGGTTCTTAAAGCTGAATAACCTTTCTTCTCCGGGGGACAGCAAGCAAACCATGCACGTTGCAGGGCAGTACCCCCTCTCAGTTGCTGTGAGGCTCAGACCATCGAAAGGGACCGAGGATGCTCAGGGTGGCTCAGCGAGGGTGGGTGCTTGTTAGTCTCTGAGCGGGGCTCTAGGGGAGGATGACTGGGAAATTCCTGTGCTCCAGGCCTGTCACTGGGCAGGCATCCTGTGAGCACCCGCCACAGCTGCCGGATATTTGGGGCAGTAGGGCAGAGTGCCCACGTCTTTAGATCCCGGGCAGCACCTTGGGGGCCTAACCCCAGCTGCTAATGGCTCCAGGACTGGCAGGAACTCCTGAGGATCACGGCAGAAGCCAGGGACTCAAGGGGACCCTTCGTATCTGCTCCCCCAGGGGTGGTAGTGAGAGGAACAGCTATGTGTCAGGAAGCCAAGAAGGGGTGGCCTGGCCTTTCTCTCTTGCACACATTTGCTCGGCGCCCCTGCAGCTGAGTCAGGTGCTGGGCAGGGCTGTGGGGAAGGGAAGGACCGGGCTCTTCCTGTTCTCGTGGTCAGAGGCTGAGGGGGAGGCAGCTGTGTCAACTGGCCACACAGTGCATGTCACTGAAAGGGACAGGCTCAAGGCCTTGACCCAGGCTGGTGCTGTCAGGGAAGGCCCTGCAGAAGTGACTCCTGGCTGAGTGGTGGCATACAGAGACAAGGGGGAGGGAGAACATTCTAGGCAGAGTGGACACTATGCACAGGGGCAAGGGGGTGTGAGAGATCAGGGTGAACTCGGGATGGCTAAGGGTGTTCGGGACACAGGAGAACCTGGAGGTCAGCAGCACCGGGTCATGTGGGCCTGGCAGAGCCGGCGACTTTGGAGTTGCCCCAAGAATGATGCATGGCAGGCTTGTGGGGTGGCCTCTTCTCTTCTCCCAACACTTCAGGCTCACTCCTGCCAGCAGACTTGGCCCTGGAGTGTTCTTCTGCTGGCTTTGCACCCTTGATCCCTCCTCTCGTTCACCCCTGACCTCCTAGCCTCTGTCTGTTACTTCATCTCACTTTAATTCCCTGCAAGAGCAGTTATTTCCTTGTTTATGTGTTTATGGCCTCTCTTCACTAGAATGCAAACACCTGGAGAGCAGGGATCTTATCTTTCCAGTTCACCAATGTGTCCTCCCTTGGTTCTTATCATCCTCACAGGAGCTCCCCAAGTATTTGTTGAGGAAATAAAATAAGCAGGTGCTAAAGCCGGAAAAAGTGGTGGCAGTGGGCTGGATCAAGGAATGTTGTAGAGGTCGACTCTTGGCCAACCTTAGGAACTGGGGCATAAGGGAAGGGCACGGGCATCCTGGGTTTCTTGTTGGGGTGAGCAGAGGGGAGTTACTGAGTCCTTGCCACAGCGCCTGGCAGTGAGCCGGTGGACGCCCAGCCCAATGGTGGCTGGTGAGGAGCCTGTGAGTTCTGAGCAGCAGTTGGCTGGAATACTAATGGGGGCGGGCAGGGGTTTGTCTGGCCTTGACCCCCCACCTTTGCCTCGGGCCATCCCTAACTGCTGTGTCACCCAGGGAGCACCCCCTTGTTATCCCACCTTTGTACTCAGGAATGAAATCAAAGTAACCAGACCTCCTGGTGAGGAGGAGCACTTGCTTCCCTGGGGACTGCAGGTGTGACTGCAGGGTTCAACCAGTGGAAGAGGACAGCAGTTCACAAGACAGGGTGGGGGGACCGGCCCAGGTGCGCGTCCAGGTTAAATAACGCCACCAGGGTCCTGCACTTGAGACATTTGCAGGCACTTGGAGGGTTCCCCAAGCTGGTGGCAGGCAGAGAAAGCTGGCCTTGCCCACTGAATCAGCTGCTGAGTCAGGCCTGCAGGGCTGGCACGCAGCAGGAGACCCGGGAGCCTCTCTGACCTGGAAGCACTGCCCTTCAGGCTGGGCTGGAGGTCAAGGCCCTGTGGGCAGTGGGAGGGGCTGGTGTCGCCGTGGGGTGCCACAGGAGGGTGGGCGTCTCCTCCCTTGACCCTTCCCGATTATCCGCCTGAGGCGCAGCTTGTGTCCCGGGGGAGCGCCTGCTAAGCCCCCTTGAGTCAGGTTCTGGAGGACAGGGAACAGTGGGGCGGGCGGCGTGGGGCGGGTGCCAGGGTCCTGACCAGGGGCTGCAGACTTCCCTGGAGAAGAGAAAGGCCGCCTAGCCTCAGGCTGAGCCTCCGCGGCCAGCGTCCTTCCTTTCTGGGGGGCTTACGAGAGGCCTTGCGGGTTCTGGGAAGATTCAAAGGAGCACGCAAAGCAGAAGAGCCCGGGGTGGGACAGGGCGGGCCACCCCACGGACGGCCACCCCAGGCCGGCACCGCGCCCGCCAGCCACGAGGCCCACGGAGCCCCGCGCCCACCGCTCGCCTCCCCGAGACCGCCCACTGGATACCCGAACGCCGCCCTGCCCTCCCGGCCCCAGCTCGCCCCGCGCTTGCTGGGAGCCGCCCCGCCTCAGTTTCCCCGGCTCCTCGAGGGCGCCGATGACGTCATGCGGCGCGCGGCATTGTGGGGCGCGGCGGGGCGGGGCGCCGCGGCAGCGACGCGGAGACGCCATTTTCGGCGGCGGGAGCGGCACGGGCGGCGGAGCTGCGGCCGCGGGGAGGAGCTGAGGGGACAGCGCGCGGGCGGCCGAGCATGCTGCGGGGCGGCCGCGCCGGCGCCACTCGCTCGTGACCGCAGCGCCGCGCCTGAGGCGACCGAGGCTGCGGGCCCGGCGCGCAGTCTCCGCTCCGCGCACGCGCACGGCGGCGCCTCCGGTGCTGACAGCGCGAGACGGCGCGGCCCCGCAGGAGCAGGACGGTGAGTCCCCGGCCGGGCCGGCCCCGGCCCCGGCCCCTTCCTGCACGACGGCCCGGTCCTGCTCGGGGCCCGGTGTCGGTCCGCCTCTCGTCCAGGCCCCCAGCCCGGTTCCCGCCCCAGTCCGTGGCTCCGGCCCCATTCGCGTCCCCTGCAGGTTCAGGTCTGTCCCCGCCCTGGGCCGCGGCTCCCTCCCGTCTGCGTCCCCCTCTAGGGTCAGGTCCCTGTCCCGGCCCGAGGCTCCCTCCCCACCATGACCCCACCCTCAGTTGACGTCCCTGTCCCCGGCCCGAGGCTTCCTCTCCATCCATGTCCCCACCCTCGGTTGACGTCCTTGTCCCCTTCCCCGACGCTGGGTCCCCCGCCCGGAGCCGCGCTCCCGTCTCGTCCGTGTCCCCTTTAGGGTCGGGTTCCTGTCCCCAGTCGGAGGCTCCTTCCCCATCTGTGCCCCTCACCCGGCTCCGCCCGGCCCCGTGTCCTCGGCTCGGCCCTGCCGCGGGCGGGGGCGGCCGTTCCGGGAACAGCTGCGGACCCGGGCAGCCGCGCGGCGGGGATGCGGCCGCCCCCGGGAACGCGGCGGGCGGGAGGCCGGTGGCGGGGCGCGCCGGCTTTGTCCGCTTCCTCCCTCTTCCTTCCGGCCGCCGCCCTCTCCCGCGGCGCCGCCCTGAGCGGACGCGCCTGTCATCCTCGCGGCCCTCCCGAGGGGCCGGCTGCACCTCGCCCCCTCGGCGGTCCCTTTCTGTCGGTACCAGATGCGAGGTGTTTCGGGCAACCCTGTTCACCTAAGCTGGCGTCGTTCCAACTAAACTTGCAGCGGCCCCTGTCCTGCAGTGCTTTTTCAGTGTAAAAATACGGTGCACCCTTTTCCTTAAAAAATTAAAATAAAGCGTTAAAAAAGTAAAATTAATGCGTGGTTGAGTGGATGGTTTTATAACTTGGGTTTGCAGGTCATTTCCAGGTACATTTGTGTTAGAATTTTTGCTGTCTGTTACCGTTTTATTGTTTAGTTGCATTTAAGAATTTACATGTTAAGCACTTGATAAGGAGTATTTGCAACCAAGATGTTTTAAAAAAGTATGAGAACAAAAAATTTGAGATATGCCATTTAAATTGCTATCTAAAAGGGCAGTTGGATCTTTGAATTTTTGCATTAGTTAAATTCCAAGGCTTTTTTTGTACAGCATGACTAAGCCATTGATCAGAATCAGCTTGGAATACATTGTAATAGTTCAGTGAAAAACCCATTAGGAAATTGGAACAACCTCCTTAAGTCCCCTAATCGTATCATAGTTACAGATTTGCTTCTTCCAGAGACTGGCAACAAACTTGTGTTATGGTGGGAAATTTGACTCATTGTTCTGTTTCCTAAATGTAAGAATACAGTGATGCTAAATATTAAACATTTCAGATTGTGTGGACTTAAGTGTGGGAGGGAAGGCACTCTGAAGAGCTGGTTTCTCCAAGTCATCAAAGAATGCAGCATCATGTTGCAGTTGAGCCTGGCAGCCCTGTGGTGGTACTGAGTGGTGTGGAGGATCCCGGTGGTAACCTCATTGCAGCCTCAGCTTATTGCCCTCACTTGGCAGGGTCTTACAAAAGGACGGCAGACAATGCATTGGAAAAGCAGAAACACATGCATGGGAATCAGGACAGTGTTGATCTCCCCCAGGGAGGAAGGGAATGCCACTGGGAAGAGGTACACGGCATCTTTTTTTCATGATAAACTTCAGTTTAAATTGATACATTAAAAAAATTTGTACTTTTTTTTGGAGACAGAGTCTCCCTATGTCACCCAGGCTAGAGTGCAGTGACGCCAGCCTAGCTCACAGCAACCTCAACTCCTTGGCTAAGCAGTCCTCCTGTCTCAGCCTCCACAAGTAGCTGGGACTACAGGTGTGCACCACTATGTCCAGCTAATTTTTTTAATGTTTTTAGTTGTCTGGCTAATTTCTTTCTATGTTTTTTAGTAGAGATGGGGTCTCCCTCTTGCTGAGGCTGGTCTCCTGACCTCAAGTGATCCTCCCACCTTGGCCTTTCAGAGTGCTAGGATTACATGTGTGAGCCACTACGCCCAACTTTAAAACTTTGTACGTTCTTAAGCATGTTTCACAATGTTGAAAAAAAAAAGTCAGTGCAACTTTCTGTGTAGGGCTATATAAACTATCTTTAAAATATTTATGTAAAAACAGAAAAGTCAGAACTTGAATGAAATGTAGAATTCGTATAATTTGGAAATATTGTTAGTAGATGAGTGGAATACAAGAAACCAGTATTTTATGTAACAAGTGATCAGTAATATCCTAAACAAGAGTACTTGGGAAGCTTTAAGTGTCAAATTTCAGGACATAGAGTAAAAATGACTAAAATTAGGATTATGAAATTACGGTCTTAAACGTCTGCTGAGAACCAGCTGGCAGGTACTGTGCCAGGGAGTCGGTATGTTGATGAAAGACAGCGGCTGTCCCGTAGGTGCTCACAGCCTGGCATGGGCAGGTGCCACAGGTCAGATTAAAGACCATGGTGAGTGCTCGGAGGAAGTGATTCCTCACAGGAGACTGGAAGAAAAGTAAAATTGGCCAAGAATGGGGGATTGGTGGTCCTGTTGGGAGGAAACAGCCCTGGGGCTGTGCTGTGGTAGAGGGGCCTGTTGCAAAGGAAGGAGTGGGGTGAGAGTGGAAAGGTGAGGTGGGGAAGGGCCTGGACTGACTTGCCCGTGAGGCTGCTTCCATCTCCATGTTTGAGGGAGGGTTGGGGGATTCTGAGGAGCCAGGGGACATTTTTTAGGAGGAGCATAGGCAGTGGTGTGGCAGGTGCTGGCAACTGGGATGAGCTTAGTTAGGGAGCCCTTAACCCCAAGTGGGGACTGTCAGCCTCTGGACTGGCAGTGACAGCAGGAACAGCAGAGCTGCCCGATTAGCTGGGGTGGGGTTGTGGATGGGGGTGGGGTTTAAGAGCTAACTAGGTTGGGGCAAGGGAGCAGGGCAGGCAGGAAGGGTAGGGCTCTGGTGTCTGCAGTCTAAGTGATCCTGTGAAAACATAAGCCAGCTCCTCACACTTCACTGCTAAGGTTTTTGGCAGTGTCCTCTAAGCACCCTGCCCTGTCTCTTTCCCTCGTCTTCCTGCTGTGGCCCTACTGGAGCATGCCCAGGTGCATCTGGGGTTTTAACTGAGCTGCTAATGATCTAGTGATTGCATGTCATCTCCACGTGCTCCTTAGCCCCTGCCCTGCTGATTTTTCTCCTTAGCGCTCCTCACGACTTAAAGTACTATATTATTTCGCTTAATCATTTTATTTTGTTTATTCTCTGTCTCCACTTCCATTCATAATCTCTCCAAGGGCAGGAATTTTTGTTTCTTGCATTTGGTGTCAGTGCTTGGCACATAATGGGCACTTAATAAATATTTGTTGAAGGGCTGGGTGTGGTGGCTAACGCCTGTAATCCTAGCACTCTGGAAGGCCCAGGTGGGAAGATCGCTCAAGGTCAGGAGTTCAGTACCAGCCTGAGCAAGAGCGAGACCCTGTCTCTATTATAAATAGAAAGAAATTAATTGGCCAACTAAAAATATATAGAAAAAATTAGCCAGGTATGGTGGCGCATGCCTGTAGTCCCAGCTACTTGAGAGGCTGAGGCAGGAGGGTCGCTTGAGCCCAGGAGTTTGAGGTTGCTGTGAGCTAGGCTGACGCTACTGCACTCTAGCCAGGGCAACAGAGTGAGATTCGGTCTCAAAAATAAATAAATAAATAAATAAATAAATAAATAAATAAATAAATAAATGAATGTTTGTTGAAGAAATGCATCTAGAATGACCTCTTCATCTCTAACTTGGGTGACTCACTGGCTGGTGACACTCACCAAGGTAGGGGAAATGGGTGGACAGGGCAAGTGAGTTTGCTTTTGGATGTGTTAAGCCTGAAGTGCTTGCCGGGCAGCCAGGTGGACTAACGGGCAGGTGGAGGTGCAGGGCTGGAGCTCCAGAGAGAGGCTGAGGCTGGACATGAAGATCTGTGAGTCTGCATCATGTTGGGAGCCAGTGGGGTTGTGATGTCCACCTGGTGGAAACTGCAGAGCGGCCCTGAGAGGACAGCGCCCCAGGAAGCCGAGAGGAGAGGAGAGGAAGAGGTCAGTAAGAGGCCAAGGAAGAATTGGACTGAAGTCTCCATTGAATCTGGCTTCTAGGAGGTTACTAATGACCTTTCATATTTCTCCCAAGAATATTACCTCCGAAGGCAAGGGCTAACTCAGAGCTGACCTGCATTCTTCCTCCCACGGCATCCTTGTCTTTCTGCCTTGTAGTCACCTCGTTAATATACCCATGGATTAAAATGAATTATTTTATTTTAGTTTTAACTAATTATTTGAGGCAGATGAAAGCAATTTGGATCTATGGTTTTTAAATATGCTTGTTGTGCTGTCTGAATTTAAGAAATAAAGCAGATCAGTGAATATCGATGGAGCAGACATTTTAAGCTCTGTGCATATGTGGAGCAGATATTTTTCTTGGGTCTGAAATATCCCAGTTATCTTAATTTAAACCGTGGAATGTTCCCTGACTTCAGTTGCATAATGTAGAAATTTATGTTCAGGCCTTTCTGAAGTTCACTGTACTACCAGTGCTGAAACTGGTAGGAGTGAAGTTAGCACTGTTCCAGGTAAAATAAAAACGTAAAGCTGGGCGTGGTGGCCTGCGCCTGTAGTCCCAGCTACTGGGGAGGCTGAGGCTGGAGGATCTTTCAAGGCCTGGGGTGGAGCCCAGCCTGGGCAACATAGTGAGACGCTATCTCTAAAATAATAGATATTGTAACCACCTCCATTTACTATTGAGGAATTTGGGGGTTAGAGAGGACAAGTTATTCAAACCAAAGTTATACAGCTGTGAAATCAGGGTTCCAACTCATTCTTTTTGTTTTCACAATTCAAGCTTTGAACCATCCTGCAAAACTTACTGCCATGCAAAACTTAAAGCTACAGCTTCATGTGGACTGTGATAATGCTAAGTTTAGT